CTTTTCGAGGCTCTTAGAAAACTTGCTCAAAATCCCGGAAAAAGCACTTTTGTAACCAAAAGCAATACAGATTCTGGAAGTAGACACTTCAGGCTATCTTTTCATGTGCGTATCTCAAAACCGATTTTTTGACCGAAAATCACCATTTCTGAGGGGGGGCACTTAAACGATGCCTAAACCGACTGGCAACTAGATTATTGGTTCATTGCTCATGATACATACAGATGAGGATTGCGCTAAATCACACAGGATTATTATTGTGCTTTCACGAAACATTTTGTGTATCAAGATACGTGTATAGTTTATCGTGGTTAAGTATTTTAGTGGATAGGCATTCGTAACATACACTACCGAAATAAGGTGTTTTATCTAGATAAGTGAGCCACTTCATCGCGATGAAAAGGTTATATCACATGTTCTCGTAAGTAATTGTAAGATCTTGTGAATTCTGTGTATGTTCATCTAAGATCTTATATAATCTTGCAAGTTCTCATTTCAAGACTCATTAACCTGGATAGTATAAAAGGTTTATTCGCTGAAACAGATTTTACGGAAATACACTGCCATTAGGACAGCAGAAATCTGCAATGCTATAAATTTGCTGAGAAAGTTGACTGTATTTTCATGCATCGCTTCAAGCAAAACAAGTGCATGATAAACGAAATACCTGTTCATGCAATTGTCTGTTCAGTCGATCAATGTTGAGAGTGAATAATTAAGGCTTGGGTAATGTTATGTTTTTTATTAACTAAAAATGAATACCTTAATATTCCAAAGTATAATTTAGATTATCGTCTCGAAAGAATGAAAACATTATGTACTAAATGGTTTATACATCGTTTGCATTCATTTTGCTTTCTCTCGTTTTTGTTTTTTAAACAAAAGTGTTTAGTACACCCACAGAGCTGTTATTTGTTTTACTCTCATAACACTTTTAACGCTTTTATGCTCCTTAATCAGAATATCAATGATCAAAACTCGACCTGCCTCTTATTTAAATTTTTCTGAATAATAATCACGACTGTTACGTATCCCACTTTTTGTGAGTAATCTTACCTACATATCTGTCTCATTGTGGGACACTTTTTCTAATAATTTGCCCCATTTTTCACCAAGAAGTTAAACTATCATAATTACTGAGAACAATATCCACCTAGTATAACTCGGTTATGTTGCATTTTGTTCTGAAAACTAACATTACCGCCAGATTCAGCATAGTCGATAACCCATGTTTTCATTCATCTCTGATAGTCCCAAACCTAACAGCAGAGGAGTGCAAAGGCGTCGGGAAAAACGTCCAGACCTCTCGAACCATGTATTTCTAAGATGTCACTCACATCCAGTTTGTGGAGAACACTTCGGACTATATATCTACGTAAAAAGATTCATAGTTTTCTCTGCCAACTTTCCGAGAACTGAACTGGTTTTCCAAAGATCTTCTGAAAAATTGGTCTTCGAAATTTTGTTCAAATTCATTTTTGCTTATGAAAACATAGCTTCAGGCCTTGGCTAGTGAATGACGAAAACCGCAAGTCTCTATCTTTTATTCCTTTTGAGTTATTCAAAAAATAACCACCCGGCCTTGTATTTTGGAACGGATAGTAGTCTATAGCGAAAGTTATTTTTAATACAAATGTTTTTTTACAGCACAAATTGCTGAAACAGCTGACTGAATGACACATTATTTGATTCAGTTTCTGACGCTAATCAGAAATATGGGCTTGGTTTCGCTTTAAAATACTTTCTTCAAAACAAAAAATGCAAAATACTGTTCAAAAAATTTAATGATTTCTACGTGATACCTACTGTCGGGGGCACTAGGGTCTTTCAGTGAGCTTAACGTTGCCTACGGAAATTTTTTCATCTATTGATAGATCAAGATTGGAACTACTTATCCACTAAATATTTTCAAAATTCGTCTTATGCCATGGGAGAAAATCGATTTGAAAACTAAGATTTTCAGCCAAAGTCGCTACTTTCGGTGTAGTTTTTATTTGAGCGAAAGCGAATTAGAACCCCACATGTTCAGATGTTGTAGCATTCGAGGTCCTCTATCTAATGGTATTTTCAAAATTTTATGAAAATATTTCGTTTCGATACAGTATGACACTAAAATAGACAAAATATGAGTTTAGGACGTACCGGATACAAGTCACTGTATGAGAACGAAACGATTCCCAGAAGTCGGGTTTATTTTAAATCGAAGAAGAGTGTTGGCTCTGTTTATGTAAAAAGTTTGAGCACTTTATCTCATATGATTGCCGAGATATGAGCAACACAAAGTTATCAGTATAAGAGACATCGCATTTTTCAAAGTTAATCGGAATTTTAAAATGCTCGTTTCTCAGCAACCCAGCAATATTTTTTCAAACGGAAAACGCCATTTTACTCAGAAATGTCTATATTTCTTTTATGACTGGTTTCAACAAGTTCTGTGAGATACGTTTGAGCAGTGTCGGTCGTCGCTTATACGAAATGGCTCTCAAGCGCAAAAAATAATCGAGTTTAAGTGAATTTTAATATTTCTGAAATCAACGGCGTGCATCAGTTTATAACAACAGAATGGATCAATCAATGCATAGCTTTTTCTGGCTGCTCTAAGATTTTTCCAGATTTCTCAACCATTTTAGTTGCTGCAGAGCACCATATGGCGCATTTCGTAGAAAAATGTCGTCACTTTGAAGGTCCAAAGTCGGATTGTTTAGTTTTGCTTCTGATGGTAAGAAAAACTAAGGATCATTGAAAAAATGCTTCGTGTTAATCAGTGACACAAAACTTTAAAAATTTTGCTCTGTACTGCGAAAGCGACAACAGTTTTCTACGAAATGTCGTCATACGGAGCTCTATAGCATCTAAAATGGCTGAGAAATTTGAGAAACCTTAGCTGCCCCATTTTGACCACTATTATACCAACATTTCACGGACTGAGACGCAGGCCAAAAAAAGAATTTTGCCATCATACTGTGATCTGGTCAATTTTTCCTAAAGTTTCTCCGAATTGGTTTTGTAGTTATCGACGGAGATTTCTGGCAGACGAGGCTCGTCATTTCTAAATTTCGATATAACAACAGTTTATCAACTTCTTTCTTTAATAGCGTAAGTATATTTTGCATTACCCCAGAGAGTGTATCAGACAGTATCTTGCTACCGTTAATGTCACAAGTAACCGAGAAATTTTGGTTAAATGAGTATGTAACAAAATTAATTTACAAAAAGTGCTGTAAGGTACGTTTTGAGTATCTACCCAAATACTCTGGTGAAGTATATTTTGTTATTTGACTACTTAACGGAGTGTCCTAACAACATATTTTCCACAATCAAGGCAATTCTTATTTAATTACTTTTAAATAGACTATCTGCTAGTGATCGCTATGGTACATTTTTGTAACAGACAACTCGTTGTCTGTATGTTGTGTATGTCAAAAGAATCGTCTACGTGTTAGCGAAAAGAACTTCAGTATTTTCAAAAAATAAATAGTGGTCATATAGTGCATTACGCAAAACAAAACGGTGATTGAAACATGTACGGGTATCATAGTAGAACTCTTTCAGTAATTGCCTACCTAATCAGTCTGTTTAGGTAACTTACCTAGGATATTTTTACTAATATCCTACACTCCAGAGATTTATTCAGTATTCGGACACCTTGGATTCAGTACATTTACTAGGTTAACGTCAAGTACTCTGCGTTAATCGTTTTTCGTGTTTATTTTTAGTACTTTATACTCCGGGATATACAGTTTCAGCTAAAAATAGAGCTGTATCAGCCTGTCTGTAGTTTTTATCCTGAAATTTTAAATGTCTGAATTGAATGTTACGGACACAGCATAAACTCATAGGCTGAGTTAAGGAGGCCAGCCTGTAGTGTCCTGCGGGATCATGCCAATCCCAACCGCGGGATTGGGACTGGAGGAAGGAATGTTACGCGATCGGGATCAAGCTTACAGGACTGGATCGGAATCGGGATTTAAGCTGCACAAGATTCAGTCCAATATTTCTATTTAAACATGTGACTACGTGGGGCAAAACATGCATACAGTTTGGGTAGCACATCTCAGTTACATTTCATTTCATTTATGAGAATAATAATTTTTTATTTCTTTTTCTCTCAGTCAAACTGGTGGGGCCTCTAGAAAAATGTCTATATGGAAAGTCCTATTAGGCTAAACTTTTTCATCCACCGACGTTTAAGCGATCGGCGTTTGACGTTTTTCAATGTGATGTTCCTTGCAATCAACAAAATCGAAATAGATTTGCATTTCTCATCGAGAGAATAGAATGTTATTATTACAAGAAAATCTCTAGTATAGAAAGTAATCTTCTAACTCTAACTAAAGAAACATGCCTCCTCTAGCAGTTTTATCATTTTTGACTCTCTATTTAATTTCTTTATTATTTTTAAAAATGGACACAAATTTAAAAAAACTAAGAAACTCACGATGACAACAACAACAAAAATTTCTTTTACTGTATCGTATCTACACAGATTTTTTCGCGCAGTAATAAGCATGCTGATAACTAGAAGCAAATTACAAAAAAAAGCATACAGTAATTACATACATAATATGGCGTGCCCCTATAATGCTCAACTCTAGAACAATTATATTTAAATCTCATCAGATTTTCATGAGATGGTATTATACAGAAAAATGACTAGATTATTAAAACACACGAATAAAGTTGTGATCCGAAAGCATCCGACGATAAGCTTGTTTTTTGAATACAGCATATATGTACACGTTCATAGAACGTAAAAGAGTCAATTGAACTAAGCTGTTGGTAACAGTCAGAAGAGAGAAAGAGAAAACATAAGAACAAAATAAACAAAATAAAAATAGGAATGATTTATTAAATGAGCAAGCATATTATCGTTTTTTTGAGATGATATTTTAAATGGCACAAGAAAGAGAAATATTGAATAGTGCATTATTGCTCCCTGAGTATAAATTGGTTACACTGTTTTTAAACATCAATTGGACAATTTTATTTGAATTTATCGATTACACCGAATCATCAACCTAAATAAAAGAACAAATAAATAGAATTAGTTTAAGAACAACAGACGATCGAACAATTAGAGAGTGAGAATCTAATAGACAATTAATGCACACAATGAAGAAATATTTTGTTGCTCAGGTTAAGCAGTAACTCTAGTCAGTTGATAAAGTAAAGCGTTATGTACACACGCACACACTTGTTGATGTCAAACCTGTTCCGTTTATAAAAAATGGTACTCTTGTGAAACTCAGGAATCTTTTGGTCGAACTACTTTTGGACCCTAATTAAACAGTGGATCATAATGATATTAAGAGAAATAATCCTAAAATTTTATATTCACTCTTTTTTGAAATTTAAGCGTTAACTATTTGCAAGTTTTGATATAAATGTTCACTTAGAACAAATTTCTTGTTGTTACAGTAAATAATTGATAAATATATATCTAAAAAATGTTTACCTTTCGTGCTGGTGACTGTCCATTTTTGTAACCATTACTTGTTTTTGAAATATCCGAATGATTTTCACCATTCATCATTGGCGTTGTTGGATTATCTCTAAAAATAAATTGATGAATTTTATATAAGAAGATAATCAAAAATTCACTGTCAGATGGTCAAAGCAAGTAAATAAATATGCACACGTCGTCAAACATGCATCAAGAAAAATTGCATTACAAAAACACATAAGCCAAGATATAGTTAATTATTAATGAAAAATTATGAACACTCCATATTATAAAATAATCAATAAAAAGATTTCCATGATGTTGAAAGAAAACAACGGAAATTTGAAGTTCATAAGAGTTATAACAAATGGTTCAGTTAGACTGTGAAGCGATAATATTTAACTATTACCAATTAAAAGCAATTATATAGCGCTGTATCTGATTAGCAATTGACTGAATATCAATGATAAGCATAATTAAATTAAAAATAAAGCATTTTCTAGTAAATCTTTTAGCCATGATGACATTATCACTAATTATTAACGTTCACTTGTTTTAGCTCACATTTTAACTACTACAACATCTTTATCTCGAAATATCTCTGATTGACTAGTTATACTCGTAGATATTTACAGTGATAACGTCATTCAATGTTCAAAGATTACTTATACATACTGCTCGTCGTCTCTTTCCTCATAGATTGAATGTGTAGATGTTATTGGAACCGTTTCTGTAGGACGACCGGTTTTACTTTTCTTCCTATCGATTTTGAAGAAAGATAAATAAATTTTCAACTTTATCACAATTTTAGTCGTTATGCACCACACTGGAAATAGACTTACGCTGTGCATTCCGACGCGAAAAAAAAAACACGTGATATTTGTGTATTCTAATTTAGATGTCACGCTTTGATACATCGATAAAACACGGGTTCAGCTTTTCTTTTTTAAATGTAACTCTGTCTCAAGCTATACCATACTCAAATTTTATTAATTCTTAGATAGCAAATTTACTAATGGATTGTGTTAAAAGTGTTCACCTACCGCTTATTTTTATTTTTTATGCTAAAAAAAGATACGACGTTTTTCAGATGTTAAAAAAACAAAGATTCTTCATCTTTAATAACAACTCTTTTGTCTACTTACATGTCATTTGTTTTTGTCGTATTTGCACCTATTCGGCATATTCTAATGAGTACACAAAGAAGTATAACTACTAATGCTGTGGCCACAATACCAAATACAATTCCAAATATAATCCATTTTGATGGTTGACCACGACGATATTTTTTTATATCAGGTTTTAATGTTGAATAAATATTACCTATTAGAAATGATAAAAAATAAAGAATTTGTTCAATAAGTGGCTTATCATGATATCCTACCATTCATAATTGGTTTTGTTTGTTTTCGAATTTTTTGTTCAGCTGGTCCTGCTTCATTATATAATCTTATAGCAATAATATAATTTGTATTTGGTTGTAAATTTGTCAATTCATATTCTGTTTTTAGAGGATCAATCGTTTGTGGATCACTAAATTTATCTACAATTTCTAAGCTACTATCATCTTTTGATTTTGCATAAAAAATTTCTGCTTTTGATATTGGTGCACCACCATCCGATTCAATTGACCATTTAATCAAACATTTGTGATCATCAATACACATTTGTTCTTCAGGTGTTGTAGATAATAATTTAAATTGTGGAATTTGACGATCGAGTGTTTTCAGACGAATGGGCGCTTTTGATTGACCAATGCCAGCACGTGTTTCAGCCAAAATATTAATACTATACGCAGTACTCGGTTGTAAATTATCGATACGAAGAATTTGAGTTTGTTCACCATTCATTGTTTGAGCTAAAATCAGAGAAAATTTGTAAAAAAAGTTCTTTTTTAGCAAACAATTAACTTTCAGTATATACCTGGAAATATCAGTGTTTTCATCGAATCTGGTTGATTCGCTCCAATTTGTTCATATTTAACGACGTATTGAACTAAGGGTAGACCACCTGTTTCTGGAGGATGTACAACAAGTTCAATGGCATTGGCCAACGGTTTTGCTTCAGTGGGATAAACCGCACGAGGTGGGGCTAACCAAAAAAGAAGAAGAACAGTCTAAAAAAATTGATAATTGATAAATACGACTGATTCTCACCAGATTTTTGTAATGTAAATGAATGACGGCTAGTTTTTCGATTCGTTGCACGACATTCAAAATTGAATCCAAAATCACGTTCATTTGGAGTATACTAAAATTCGTACACAAAAAGGCTAAACATTTAATACACAACAGTGTACTACTTCATCAAAACGTTGTTCAATTATTTTTATCTTTTTATCATCTAAATTTAATTCTACACGTCTTACCGACAGAACCGTTTCCCATAATGTTGATCCAATTTGTTTTGTTGTAATGTCATTTACGCCTTGATCAATATCCGATGCTAATATCCGACCTTCAGGTTCTTGAGAGGTGCGTGCCATTTTTATCCATTGAATTTCGGGTGTGGGATACGATTCAAACAGACATTTCATAACAGCTAAAAGTGATATGACTAATAGTGAGAGTAACTGTATCGACATAGAGAATTCGAGCATGTACCTCGAAAGCCTGGAACTGACGATACAGTTTGCGTATTTGAACCAACATAAATTGGTGGAACTGAAGAAAAAAGAAAATATCATTCATAATTGAAGATCTACTTTTGTTGATTTACTATCCATTTCAAAATCGAAGACTCTTGGGTGTTTTCTGGAATAACTTCGAAGTCGGATTATCAGCATTTTGTAGAGAAGATTCCACTCTATTAGGTCAACTGCATCAAATAAAGTCTTAGACGTCATTGTTTCATGATCTTCGTGAACGAGATCGATATTTAAAATATGTCACAGATAGACTAAAGTATTCTCTACAATTCTGCGTCTAGTCAGCTTCTATAGTTATCGTAATTTTCTGAGAGTACACATTTTGCTGGGATCTATCTGACTGTGTTAGATTAGGTCTGAGAACTAGGAATAGAGGTTATCGATCACGCTTATTCTTAACGTATTTGCTTTTAAAAATATTTATAATCCAGTCAAAATTATACTAGAATCTCGAGATATACCCTATTTATCTACTCAACATGATTCTGTACTTCGGATGAGTGAAACATATTTTCATACTGCAGAAGGTTTACAGAAAAACCTTTTCGCGAACCAAACTATTCTTTTTATTACTAAAAAGCGGTTTTTAAAATATTTATCGTATAGAATGAAAACAAAATGTATCGTGAAATTTTTTAGAGATTTTCAATCTGTTCGAAACTGAACGATTTAAATAAAAACAAATTTTCAGATTTTTTTCGAATATGGGAAAATATTCAAGTTCTGTGGCAGAAAACGAGTTTTTAAAATCTTTTTGCTCTCTTCAGCCACTTTTTTTCAAAAACCTTTTTATTGTTGGGTCAATTTTGGCTAGAGTGAAATCTTCTCTACAAAATGCTAAAATCTCACCTTGTCTCAATCTTTTCGTTCTCAAGTTATTTACAAAACATGCAAAGATCTTCTATTTTGAATTTATCTAATATTAATACGTACATTTAACATAAAGACTTGCAATGACAAATGTTGTATCAGCTAGATTTCTTGCCACACATGAATAATTTCCAAAATGTTCACGTCTTAATGGATTGAAGCGTAATTCAATAAATTTCTGTTGTTCAAATTGAGATGTATCAACATAAATTCCATCTGTAGACTGAAAACAAAAAGAGACATCAAACAACTTCAATAGACGGATAATGAACATACCTGCACAACTGTATTATTCATGTATTGCCATTCAAGAGAAAGACTTTCAGCTGAACCTCTTTCAACTCGGCACTGAAATATGGCATTTTGTAATTCACGATCGTTGAGTTCTTTTTCAATCGCTGGTATGGGAGCCAATCGTGGTGGTACTAAAAGTAACAAAAAAGAAAAAAATAGCATTATATAGTTTTTAAATTATAATGAGATATCGAATCTTACCAATGACATTGAGGATATATTCAGCTTTGAGTCCAACTTTATCGTAATCATTACTCGCATGACAGGTATATTTTCCATTGTCTGTCTCATCAACATAATTTATTGTCAACTGATTACCACGAACAACAAATTTTGGTACTTCACTTGCACCCACAGGCGATTCCTAATAAAAATATAAAAATTATTCGTACTAAACGTTCTAATAGACAAATTGATTAGTATTCAATAGCGAAAAAAAGAGTTTTGGGAGCAAGACAGACCTAAACACTCACATACACACGTGTACACAAGCAGAAAATACCAAAAAAAAATCAAATTTATTAGTATCATCAATCATGTGATTTAGATTTTTAAGATGGTTTGTTGAATATAATTTTTGTTAACAAAACTTTACAGCATCTTTGTCAAAAAGTCAAAAATATGATGATACGTAGTGATGGCTACAAGTTGTTACATATCTCTTTAAGCAGCACGAATTTACATCGTCAGTTAGAGACCTTATCTTTTATTTTCAAAAAATTTAGATAAACTTTAAGGTTTTTAAAAAAATAAAATAAAACTTGCAAATAAATAGCGAGCTGCATTTTTCATACAATCAATGAACTATAAGCTTTGCTTTTGTTCAGAAGTGTTTTATTCTTCAACATATATATAAATATTCATATTATATATGGCTTCAGCGTCCTTATATATTTGTTTATGTTTTAATGTGAAAGAAATCTGAAAATGGTATCGAATGGATGAATTTTTCCAATGGTATAGGAATTCCCTAAAATTTGATTAAATTACATTTAATTCTACATAAAAATTATATGAAGCAATGTATTGGGAAAAACAGTTTAATTCATAATTGCATTTCTTTTTCATAGTCACGGCGTCTATTTGAAGATCGAATAAGTCATATACTCAGTAGAGTGACGCAGCTGGGAGGGGTTTGGTTTGACATCGAATCGATCCTACCTCTATAAGTTACAAGCGCTGGCATAGAAAGAGATTTTAATTCGGATGGACATATAACTACACAGAAATGATCAATGGTATTGTTTTAAAAAATTTCTATCAAAATTAGAAACTTTAGTTCCTAAAAGAGAATAAGTAAAGCTCATCTGGTGTTTTTCTTTTGTTCTTGTAGAACAGTTGTTTTTGATGATAACAAATAAGAATTTGTTCATTCGTGAAACTGAAGTAAACGCAATTAAAATGTGAGTATGGAAAATAAAAATGAACAACGAGGAAGTACTCACGAGGGAATCACCCGACGGTTATAGATCGATTTCGGGTAGGGGCTAACGAGTAGTGAAATACCCCAACTTGGTTCATCCCAAGGTGCTTTGTTGCTGAGATACTGAATTTTTAGTCAGTTTTTGCCTATAGAGCTTGAATTTCGGACAAAATCCAACTTTCAAATTTTGATTGCAAACTTGCCGCACTTGTAGCCCATGGTCATAGTAGTACGACGCAAAAATATT